TCAATAGGTAAATGAAATAATGATGCTATCGAATTTTCAATAGATGAAGCTGATAGAGTAAAACAATTTTGAAGAATATAAGATGAATGTCTACTATGATTTGATATTGATGATGTTGATGTTGTATGCCATTTTTGTAAATTATTTTCAAATTTAATTAAACTTTTTTTAATTCTTACTTGAAAATTTCGTTTACGTAATGAAAAAATAATTTGTGAAAAACAAAGAAATATAAAAACAAGTAAATAAAGTGTAAGAATAAGAAAATGTGAACGATATGCATAAATAGTAACACATGTTGTTATTGGTTTTAATGGATTTGTTTTTTTAAATATATAATATAATGAATGATATTGTTTTAAATATTCTGAACATATAATAGCACATATTCTATAATGACCAACAGTTAAATGTTTTAATTCAAGTGAATTTCTCCAAAATGTTAAATTTTGTTCAGGCATTGAATAAAGATCTTCATCATTATGACGAATTGTAAATTTATACATTTGACATAATCTATGATTATTATTTTGTGCTATTTCAAATTGAACATTAGCCGTTTGACAATCATACATACGTGCACGAAGATAAAATGGATTTTCAACTATAATTTCTTTAATAATACCAACTATATGATCAGGAATTGATAATAAACAGACAATAAATAACAAATTCATAATTGTTTTATTTTCTCATTTCTTTACATCAATATTTAAACAAATACTCAACACATGTCTTATTACATGTAACATGACTATTCTATGATAATTCTTTCCGTTCGAGATGAAACTAATCTCTATTCATATATTTAGTTATGAACCAAAATAAATGCAACAAATAGTAAAGAGAAGTTTTGTGTTTGTTTTTTTGTCGTTTTGTGTTCTTCTATTGCTTAACGGATTTATTGAACTTTCGTAGCTAATTCAAGTTTATCTTCTTTTTCTTTTACTTGCATAATTTTTTTTTTCGTATAACTAACAAATAGATGAATTAATTCTAATTTATGTATTGATAATGTACTGCAATGAGTTGGATTAGTTATAATACTTGAATCAATACCAATATTTATATTTTATGCACCGGTATCACGTTTATCAAATGGAGACGCATTAGGACAATCACATGAAGCTTTGGATGACGTGTTTATTATGTAGACTAAAAATGTATAAGTAATATGAGTTCGTACGATAAGCTGCGCATTATATTTTCATTAATATGAAAATGAAAAAAAGAAAATTTCTGGATGGACTCGATGAATACGAAAGCTTTTTCGTTGACATCGCTATTATTACTATAGATCGATACCTGACTCAATTGATTTTTATTTTCTGTATTCATCCAGTCACTAACTGACTTGAACGTTGAAAAGAAAGAGTAAAAAGATAACAAAGCATGTCTCTATGTGTATTATGACTTCTATTATATCACATTAATGGCATTCTAGATCAAAGATACATGTTCAAAAATGAAGTTTTTTTTTTTTTTTTTTGATTTTAATAAATGTGAACAGACTAATTAGAAACAAATCAGAACATAGATAAATACATACGAATGTGAGGTAGGTTTTACTCTTAGATAAAATCATCAGTGAAACATTTATTTGAATAAGATCAATTAATTTTTATATATCAGTATGCTTGATAAATTTTTTTTTCTTCGGCTATTTTATTATCATAGAATAACTAAAAAGACGAAATTTTAGAAAAAATAATTATTTTCTTGTAATTTATTTCCATAAGAGTAGAAAAAGTAATAATTAATCGACGAAGACATGAACTTAAAAATAAGAGTTGTACAATTAATGAATCTACAAAACCTTCATCTGTATCAACTTTCATTTTTTATTTAATCATATAAGCTTAAACAAATTTAACAGTATCATATATTGATACTTTACATCTAATCGATGAATCACGTATAATTCGAAGAAAAATAAACAAAAAGCAGAACCTCAAAGATATTTTCTTTTTTTTTGTTTTTGGTCGAAGGTTGTCAAGACAAATTAAACTTAAATAGGAAATAGTGATGAACTCTACAACAGCCTAGATTTAATGAAACTTAATATCGATATATAAGATCAGCTCTTTATTCTCATCTTTTTCGATTTTTTAATTTTGAAGTCTTTCAAAAAATATGGTGGTAGGGCTTCAATCTCGTTTGATAAGTTTATTAAAATTTGCGAAAAATTATCAGATATACAACTTTGTAGTTCTTATTTTACAATGTATCACTATATGATTAATACATGTTCACAGCCAAAAAATTTGGTGATCAGCAAAAATGGTTAGCCAAGAATGTATGTAGAATATATTGTTACATATCGAATGCGTTAGTCATCTTTATCATCAATCAAATATCGATGAGTAAGATTTTTTACTAGACGAGCTTATCTCATTCACCATTGACAATCAAATTGAACAAATATACTTGAATAGAATGATGCCATCTATCTCGAATACTCTCATCTTGAGACGAGGTATAATTTTTTTTTTTTTATATGATTTGCATTGAAATGAATGATCATATTGACTAATGAAGTACCAATTTTCTGGTATGTCATGAAAAGTGCAGTATTGATAAGATTTTTCGATGAAAGACGAGTTTAAACTGGAGACGACATACTTTGAAACTCTATCAAAAGCTGTATACAACTGCATCATTTTAAAAGATGTTCATCCATCAAATTTAAAGAACATAGAGGAAGACATGTGATTCATTTAGTATTAGAATTATTTTCAGTTTTTGAAGATATTAGAAGAGTTCTCTCTATTTGTTCAATTTACTGGATAACTCTTCCGATAACTTTCTTAACAATTCTTTTGACTTATCTGACAACTGGTATCCATTAGGATTTTTTCAAAGTATAAGCTAAAGCTCTGTAGGGTAATTGTTGTCGACATTTGGATAGAGTAAGGTTAATACAAGACCATAGAAAGGTAGGACATGCGAAAGCTATAGCACGAACAAAAGTGTTAGGTAGGATAGAGCATGAGAATTTATATCCTTGAATGACTCAAGCAAATATGCAGAGAATTATCGAGGAGGTTGTCAAAAGAAAGTCGTAGCAGTTAGTATACTATTTTCAACCTTATTATCAAATCTGCAAAAAAAAATCAACGAAACTATGTTTTTATATCAGATAAACAAATATCACAAAATTGCAGGAAATACTTAGAAGAAAAGTTTCATTTTTGTGAACCAATAAAATTTGAAGCAACATCAAACATCGATTCTTCCATTTTTTTTTCCAATTTTTTTTTTCTATGAACAAATGTCATTAATTGTATTTACATTTAGAATAGAGAAATGTTTTAGCTACGCAAAGAGCGCATTATGACTAAAAGACTCAAAATAAATGAATTCATGCACTCAAAAGCTTCGAAACATATTCTATGAGAGAAAAACTATGTTCTAGAATTGACTGTTTCAAGAAACTGAATAATAATGATAGATATTCAAGTATCTCTATTGTATTCAACACTGAATATTTGAGTGATTTTAGAAGATGAAATTCAAAATTGAAATAGCTGAGCTTTCTTGCATAGAGAAAAGCAGTATGTTGATTTCTTTCAATAATTGATTTCAACAGATCTTTAAACAACTTTATATCCAGTATAAACGATCATTTTCTTTTTCCAGCAAAAATTATTCTATAAAATATGTATAGGTACAGAGATCTATACTTCAAATCTCGCACTATCACGATGTACTTTTAATGGAATGATAGAATTGGAAAGCGAGAAGAATGAAACGACATTGAAAATAGAGCTTGGTGTGTTAGCAACTACACAGTCGTTTAAAAGTAATCGATTTCAAATGCAAATTGTAGGACTCGATAGAGTAATGTTTGCTCTCTTCCTCAACAAAAAATCTCTACTTATAAAATATTTATATATATAAGATTTGTATTGAATAAAACGAAATTATTAATAGAATTCGAGTCAGTCATTCTACTAAAATATGTACAGCAGTATGTTTTGATAACGAAAGTTATTGACAACGTAGGAAAATAAATTTGCTACTTCAATGTCCGAATTTATATGCGTCGCCATTCATTTGAGTTTAATCGCAATCATTAGATTTTTGTGTTTAGACATCTCAAATTCGATTTATAGAAAGCATGAACAGAAAAATAATCAAATTAATAATATTCGGCTTAAGTCAATGAACAAAATTTTCACGCAAAGTTTCCATCGAAGTTTCCCATTGAGGTGAGAATATCAAGTGTGAAGTGGATAATTTGAGTTGAGAGTGTACATTCATTTACTTTCACTTTCACATCTTGTACTCTCTCAAATCTGAGTCTGATATCAATCATAAACATATTTTTTGTGTGTCCAGACTTATAAACAAGCGATTATGGATCATTTATCTTATCCGTTGTTCAAAATTATGTTGTAAACAATTGAAATTTGAATAATCTATGTAAGACAACTTAGAAGTTTCTATTATGAGTAAATGTATGAAAAAAAAAGTGATACATAAATGCCATGTACATTTTAGTTTAGCGTGATTGATCTTTTCAACTATTGTTTTTCTATGACAACTACAAAATATTAGAAAAGCTATTACAAGTTTAAATAACTTTACAATGAACAATATCAAGTATAAGTCTGTGACATCTTTACACAGTACTCTTTATAAGTTTATATTGGTTAATCGTGTAATGAAAGGTTTTTTTCGCGTAATAAAAATAGTTTTCACTTAAAGTTATACAATGTCCGGCAACGTTATTTGATGATTTTGTGAATGTTCAAAAGCTTTGCTTGAGCGCCTGTTCATAGAGTCTTTTGTTTCGGCTGAAGATTGCTTTCGATATATCAATTGACATAAACAATTTTTTATATTTTGTCGTTTCTTCCATGCAAATAATAATAATGATAAAATACTAATAACTCCAAAAACCAAAAATAATCCACTTGCTGCTTCAATTCCGATATCAGTCGATGTTCCAGATGAGTCAAGACACAGCTGCATTTCAAACCATTTTTGTCTTAAATTCTCCAGATCACCTCCTTCTTTTAATTGTAGAATATACATATCTAAATCTTGTGCATATGACCAATGCTGAGGCATAACAATACCATATGAACTTTTATCAAAATCATTTCCAATTAAAGTTAAATTACAATATATATTATTCGTGGCATATTCAAGAATGCCATTATCCGGAATAGATGTATCAATGATACCTTCTAATAGACTACGATATATCTCATCATACGTTTTTAATGGGTAAAAATTTCGAACACCATTAGATATTTGTGTCAAATAATAGTCTTCTTCAGCTGAATTTGCAAGAATACCGATACGATTAGATGGTATTTTCCCATTTTTAATATCATCAATTCCAGAAATAATATTATTTGATTTTGCAATTGTCAGATCAGCTGCTAAATTTGCAGTATACGATGCTACTAATATCAAACCTAAGATATATAAACTAGCAGTTAATAAACGTCCAGCAGCTGTAGTGATTTCAAAATCTACACCAAATCCAACAACATTACCAAAAGAATACCATATACTCATTACAATTTGATTCAATATTGATCGATTTTCTAATACTTCATTATCTTTTCTCTCCACTATACATATCAAAATACCAGCATAGGTTATAGTACCAAAGAATAATAACCAGAGATTACGTGAAAATGATTTTAAGAATGAGAACAGATCAGGTTTAACATTGGATGTTGTTCGCATTATAATACGTAAAGAATTATCAAATATAGCAGTGGAAAATTCAATATATTCGCTTCGTGCAGAGGTAATAGTTACATCACCTATCGCTATATCATAAACGCCAGTACTTACTCTTCGAACGAATTCATTATATGTTATATTTGATGGTGCTAATTCAATAATTGGAATAAATTTCATTTTATTTTGTAAAAGTTCAATAAGATCAATTATATAGCCACTATACTTTATTGTAGTTTGTCCAGATGGATCTATATCTTTTTCAACCATTGTAAATGGAATTGATTCAATAATACCAATTCGTAAATTTATACCTTCGAGAAGTGCTCTATCACTAGATGGTGTTAATGTTTTACCTGGTCATACTATAATATTTTCTTTTATAGATGTTCTCCAATCACTAGAATGAAAATATTCTAATACAGGCACAAAATTCAAACCATTCGATGAAGATTGAGCATTTTTTGCAGAATAATATAAACCAGTTATTCGATCTGTTACATTATCACTAAATTGTATAGGACCAGATAACACCAAGAAATTCTGTTCCACTAACTATATCTAACAATAACTTTGAATTAATGAAATGACGATCAAAACAGTATGAAGATCCAATAAATGACAAACGTGAAGAAGAAATATTTATTTTTGATGCACACAATTGTTGTAATGATTGAATTAATGTCCATGTTGCATCAAATGCAAATAATGCATAATTCTCTACATCCATGGATCCAGGAAATGATTCAAGTTCATATTGTTGCCAAATACTATATGCTATATCTAATAATGTTGTATTAATTAGTGCATTGACAACTGATCCTACAGATGGTTCAATCAAAAACGTTCCAATTAAGTTTTCATAAAATGTTTGATTGAAAGAATTTAATGAAATAGTGTTGCTTATCATCCATGTAAATTGTGGACCAACTACATTAGAGTCAAGAGCCTCTTGTAAAATCAAAGATGTATAAAGTGATTCAGCCCATACGATAACCATACGTGTTGCAGCATTAATTAAAAGACTTTTCAAATCACCATCAATACTAAGTATAGTAATATCAAATGCAATCATTTGGCTGACTGTTAAGCCACTATTATTAAATGCTTTAATTATAGCATTGGCTCCACCAGTTCCAAATGCACCATTTTGATAAATTATTGTACATGATGTCCAATTATATCGAATGAATAGTTTTGCAAGGGCTACTGCAGCTACAAAGTCTGAAGCAACTGTACGATAAAAATTAGGATAAGCATTTTCATCAGATAAATCAGGACTAGTTGCAGAATATGATATAATAGGTATACCAAGTTTTTCATCAAAAGGAGCAATTACCTCAGCTTCTCTTGATAACCATGGGCCAACGACACCAACAACAATTGAAATAGATATTGCATGACACATAATGTTCATAGCATCTATTATATTACCAGTAGTTTGCTCTGCTTGCCATCCTATGAATTCTCCTTCGATTGTTATATTATATTGATAAGAAAGCAACATTGCTGCCTTAAACATATTCCAAGATTGGACAGAGACATCGGTAATGTCAGATGTGTTTGATGGTTTTAGAAAAGGTCCTAGGAGGCGAATGTTAGAAGAGTCTGATGACAGCCAACTTGTTGTTACATATTCTATGTTAAATTGTTCAATTATAAAGCATAATAAGAAACATCGAAAGTTGCGATACAATAACATCATTATTTAATTATCTAATAAATAAGATGATTGAATAAAGTATCTGAAAAAAAAAGAACAAAGTATACTAAAATTTATAACGAGAATGAATAAAGCATATGTACAACTATTTCAAATCTTTGATGCTTATGTGTCATTCTATGCTTTTTGTTATATTAACCCCTTCTACTTCGAAAAAAAAGTATTCGATTATGAGTATGAGATTGACATATACAATCAAAGAAATGTTTTCAAAAACTATTTAATTACCTTCACATGTAGGTAGACAAAATTCAGACATGCAATTCAACAATGAATGAATATGTGAAATATGTGCACCAAAACATTACATTTCCAAATTTTGATCAACGTGTTCATTATTTAACCACACCAAAATTTTAGTAAGAATATAGTAATTACGGAAAAAGCTTTTTGACTATAACTTGTTTCTGAAGCAGTCTCAGCAGGTAGTCTTTTCAAATCTGAGATAAAAGCACTTGAATTGACTAATCCAAGTACTTTTTAAGGAGAAACTTGGGGAGACAGTTAGAGACCTTTCTTTCTCAGACCAGTCCAAGAATATAGTTACCAAAGAAAACGATTTTAGGTTGTACTAGACAAAGTACAATCGCTTCACAACCAGCTCCTATAGAACGGTGCCGATGCAACTACTCTCATGAGTGAGCTTGTGTTTCTACTCAAACGAAGCATATATCATTCGATAAAGCTTATCGATCTGCATCGAATCAGCTATGTTTCATGAACTGGAGCGAATCATCAGGGAAAACCTTTGCTTGAGTGTTTTTTGCCTATGGTGAAAAATCAATGTTATTGCCTTTGTTTGTTTCGCTGAATTTTCATTCAAATTCTCTGACTACAGCACTCTATAGAGCTCCTCAAGCTACATGTAACTCACTACAGTCCTCAGCTGGTTCATACAGAGTGAAGTTCTGGATGTGAAGTGTAGGTTTGGTTATGGATATAGTAGATATATTGGTATGGTATGTGTATGGATCTGTCGTTGTTGTTATCGAGATAAATTCGGATACTTTAAATAGCAGAACGAATTCCTGAAGATCTTTTTCATCTTATGAAAGATTTTTCATTCATTTGAATGTGGAAACACTGAAAAACAGTTCAGGATAAGAGAGCCATTTGAAAATCATGTCGAAACCATTTTTATTAGCTGAAATTCTTTTTGGAGGGCCTTTTGAATAGGGTAAAGTTGAATAGCTGTTAGAAGACTGGAAGCTCCAGCACACTCCGTCTAGTTGGCTCATAGTATGCATGTATGCATCAATGCGAGCGTGGATGTACCCGTTACTATTTGTGGGTAGTTGCAGTGATATCAGAGTATATGGCTTTTGGTGTAGTTTGTGCGATTCAGTATGGGTATGTCTGAGCGTATGTATAACTATCAGTGCGTGTGTGAGTTTTGGAATGCAGGTGTCTTTGAATATTGGTGTAAGGTATTCAATGACTATCTGTTTGCATTGATATCTGTTCGTTTCGCGTAATTGTCAATCGCAGCAAGCAATTGACACATGATGCGCATGCTTCTTGAATAGTGCACAACGCGAGTTGCGTCAGTACTTTGACTCCTGTGAATTCTGTTAATTTCGTGTGTTCCTTGGATTCTCTGTTCTGTGGCCTCCTCATCTTTATTTTGTAAGCGTAATTTCACTTTCAAGAGTTTTAGGGGTTCACAATTTACGGAATCTTGCATCGTCTCAAAAGAAGTATACAACTATTACATGATTCAAACTATCTAATTTATTTGTAACAGAACTTCATATCGAACTGCTGTTCTTAATCAGTCATTGAAAATCGACGGCTATATAAAATTCATTACAATTATTTTGACATTTTCATACATATCTAAATTAATTTGATGACCCATCATAAACGAGTAAAAGACTTATGCGATGCTTGAAATAGTCCTTGTTCAGAACCTGAGTAATTAATTAAGAAACTTCGCTTATTTCTTCAGTATTATTAGAGATCAAAAGTATATTAGTTGTCAAATTTTTTTCTTATTGATCAATAAAGTCCACCAGTCTATTTTTGAAGTTAAGAAGAATTGAATCTTTACCAAGAGGGAAACAGCGTACTTGAAATCGAAAAGTACGTAAGAGTACAAAAGTAAGTTCAAGTTACTTCAAGTAGATAAGAAGTAGTTCCAAGTACATTAAAAGTATCAGGAAGTTGCTTCAAGTACTTTTCAAGTATGATCAAGTACCTTCAAAAGTTTCTTGAAGTACTTTGAAGTACAATAAAGTACTGAGAAGTATATCAGAAGATGTAAGAATAGAGATGTCGCATTAGAAATAAATTAACAAATAATGCTCATACTTTTCCATTAGCAGTAACACTTAACACTAATTTAGCATTGTGTTTAATTATAATATATATACCCAGTGTCAGTCCTAGACTGCTACCTTTACATACTATCTCTAATTTTTCAAGGGTTATGTGACGGTAGTCTTTGTAACTTTTCAACGAGACATCGCTAGTTAATGTTGTGCACTTTGATTTGGAATATTGTACAATTTTTTCATGGGATGATGTCACATCGCACGAATGCAACATATTCAGAGGATGTCAAGGTCTGCGAAGAAGCTTTCGTAAATACTAACGAACAATTCTTTGACGTTGTAGTTATTGTTTCACTAGTTTGATTTATAGCGATTCTTTGTATAGAGTTCACTCTAGAAATGTCGTCCAGAGGTTCATCGCATATTATGTACGGATCTTGAAATGTTCCAAGATGTAGAACCTGTTCTGCAGAGAGGTTACTCTCTCTTGCATTGTTCCTACATATGTAGGAGTAGGACGACTGCTTTTTAAGGAAGAACCTGCAGGACAGTGAAGTGAAGAACTATAAGGCTGTCGTACTCTAATCAATAGAGTAGAATAGGAAAATGAGGAGCATCTTGAGGATCGTATAGCGCTAGGCTTAGAAGATGTTTCTCTTCGGTCAGAGAGTGAGAAAAAAGCTTACACTTGTCATCAATATGTCTAAAGAATCTTTATGAATCACTTTTGTTTTCTTGTCGTTTAGTTAAGTACATTAGAAGAAGTTGGATTCTCAAATAGGAAGACAAATATGCAATCTTCAAAAATTAATTCTTTTGATATTCCTTCAGAATCATCTTTTGTATGTTAACAAAAAAAACATGTTTTAATGTTCTTTTACGTATTTTTTAGAATTTTATTTCATCTCGAACATCTTACTCTCAACCCACGACATCCACACCACAGAAAAAAGCTGCTAAACAAAAGGATTTAACATCTATTAAAAATCGAAAACAAGTGTCATACGACGAGAATATTTCGTCAATATTGTTTTATGATATGCAAGTTTTGTTAATTTCTTCCAAAAATAAACCCATTTCTTTTTTTTTCTAGGATTCTCAACAATCAATATTATGAATAATTTATATTCAAATTCTTATTTTTTTTTAAATTGAGTATTCATTTTCTGTGTAATTTTTCTTTATTTATTTTTCTGTTATTCATTCATATTAATAAATAAAAAATAAAAAAATTATGCTTTACATTTCAGAAATAATATTTTAATATACAATTGTATTTCATCAAGAATTCAATTAATGCTTATTTGAAAACTATAATGTCTTAAGTAGATAAAAACTGATAGACACGATGAACTGAATCCTTTACGGCAATAACAATACACATTATAATGACAGGGTAATTCAATGTTGTTTTCAAGCAGTAACGAGTAACTGGCGCCATCCGTCGCGTGAAACTCAGTTTTTTTAAAAAACAAAGATGTAGCTTTAAACAATTTTGGTTTCAAATAATTTTCATCAAAATTTTTTTCTCTGACAAAAGCATTTTTAAACACGTCATTCTATTAGTGCATTTTGACATTGATTGCGACTTCTCCCTATGCTTTGTATCACCAGCTCAGGCACTCATACTCACTATTTCTAATGGCAAGTGTACACTGCAGAAGCATAATGTACAAACACCTGCAGCTATGAAAATACACACTGCTGTACACTTTACTTAAAAAAGCAGCGTGTACATTTTTCCGGACAATTTTATAATATATCTTAGTTTATACTAGAACTTTTTCTGTTCTTTTTGCTCTTTCGCTTTACTTCGGTAATGTAAATGACTGTGTACATTTTGCTGTACACTTTGCTCATCCCAAATAGCGTGTACTGTACATTTTGTTTTAAAATTCCATTAGAAACACTGCTAATACTGTTTTATCGGTTCAGGGTCTATACTAATATTCAAGTAGTAATAAAGTTTTTTCATGATTAATACCATCAACATCAATGAGAAAAAAGATAGTAGAATCAACAACAAAAATAAATAGTAAGATAATACGTTCTTCGTTAATTGATACAATGCTTTTATCAAGTACATTACTTCCTCATTCACCTGCTATTCAATCTATGAAAACATCAACTCGATCGGCAACTAATTTAACTCTTCAACAAATATTTAAAGAAAAAAAATCAATAGTAATTAATAAAAATATTAAAAAACGATGAAAAAGTAAAAGAAATATAATCGATGAAGAAGATGATGATGAAACGGAAAATAATGAAGATATTAAAATAAGAACAAAAACACCTAATTATAATCTTTTTCAAAGCAACAACAATATCAAAATAATATATTGAAGGAGCAGGTATATCTACTTCTTTTTTCTCTTTTTCTTTTTTAAGTTTTACTTTTTAGGTATTGAACAAAATTATAAAAAAATAAATAAACATAATAGAAAAATTGGTGAAAAAATTCAAAGTCTTCGTTCTGATCAACAAATTCATCGTCAATTCTTACTCGATCAGTAAATGGAAAACAAGATGTTATCGTTACACCAACTCAAAGTAGTTCATGTAAATTATTTCATATTAATTTTTAAAAAATTTGTTTTTTTCGATTTTTTTTTAGCTGTCAAAATCAAAATAGCATCACCAATTCCAACAAATCTCTTCGGATCAATTCATCCACTAGCTCCTCAAATAGCACTAATAACAACCGCAATATCAATTCATACATAAACAGATTATTTATCACATTCGATTCATCATGAAAAACAATGTCAATTAAAGCATTTATCTGAACAAGGTATTCTACATCGAGATTTAACATAGTATGTGTTTATGTCGAACAATTAGTTAAAACAAGAGAATTTCTTGTTGATGCAACCACTAAACTTCAATTAGCAACTTTTAGTAATAATTTTAAAATTAATAAATATTTCATTCATGATCATTTATTCAACTGATTAATCGATCAACAAAACTATCAAAAACATAGAATGACAATCAAAGAATCATCACCATCTATGATGCTTCTTGATAAATCTAGTCTCCAAGCAGAATAACAGGTAAAAGAGAAGACACCTTCCTTATCACGAACTTCGTATATTATTTGTAGATTATCTTCGAACAATTTATTTCAATATTTAATATTCATTGTTCAAATACAGTTGATCAATCAACAACACATTTAATAACTGATTCATTAAATGAAAGTTCACCACTTGTTTGTCCATTAACATTAAAAGTTATTCAAGCAACACCTCATCATTTACCAGTAATTAGTATTCAATGGCTTGTTACATCAAATAATAGTTCCATTAGAAATTTATGAAATATTGTTAGGTGATCCAACATATGATTATCATAATGGTTTTCTTCGTTCACGTATTCCTCGTTCTGAAGGACTTGTTCAAGGAATTATATTTCGTTTAGAATGCCCAGAACAATTATGTTTGTTCAGCTGTTTTAACTGATAATAATACACTTCGTGACAATGAAATAAAATGAAAAGATCAAATACATAAAGTTTATGTTACTCGAATGGTTACTCGCTTCTATAGCTCAATATAATCTTCCATAATTTCAACAATTTTCCGTCTATTTATCATGCTAATCAGTATATCTATTTTTTTATGTGTATAATTAGTATATGTGCATAGGTCAGATTAATGAAAAGGAAAAAAAAAATTTTATATATAATAAACATTTATTGATATGTTCAAAGAAAAAAAAATAGTGGCATAGATGATCATTATTGATCCGTAATGAGATATTCTTTGAGATAAAACCTCTAATGGCAATATCACTAAAGAAAGATATGAAAAAGAAGAAAAAGTAAATGAAAAACTTCTTTTTGTTTTTTTATCTTTGATATTGTTTGATTTTTAGATCGAAGGAAAATCGAATTTCGGCAGTTGAACAACATAAAAAAGATTTAACTGATTTAGCAAGAGTTGATTCTGAATTTTATAAATTTTAAAAAAAGTAAGATGCTGATTTACTTAATTTTCATGTTAATGAAGATGATGAATCGATTCTGGATGATGATCTTGAACAAAAAATTCATCAATTACTTGAACAACTTGATGAAATAGAACCATTATCTGATGAAGTAGAGGTTTTTTTCTTAGATAAAAATATAAATGAATCGATTTTCACAGAAAGGCGAAAATGGTGAATCATTATCCTAGTGAATGTACTGAGCTAAGCGTACCTGAAAGAGTACCCTGCTACTAGTATGTCACAGAAACTTTCGGGTGCTGAAGTACCTTAAACTACTTTTGGGTACATATAAGTTAGTGGAGTGGGTACCTGCTGTAAAGCGTTTAGTAAATGGATACTTGAAGGTACTAATCAAATACTCAACTGGGTACTATTGCACAGTATTTTTAAGTACCCTTTTGCCAAAATTGTAGTATATTGATGATCGAACCTAATCTTTGACTTTTTTCATTTTTGTTTCTCTCAAAGCGATTTATGACATATTTTTGATTTGATTTGATTTAATTTTCCAATTCTTAAAACTCAAGTAGGTCAAATTTCAGAATCTGACCGGATCTGAATTGGTCGAAACTTCATCAGACCACTTCAGGATAGTCCTCTCTCAATTTATGATCGATATCGGCATGTTCTCGATTAGTAAATAGTCAAGAAATAATCTAGAAAAAATTAGTATGAAAAAATATTCATTTCTTATGTTTTGTCGAGTTGTTTATACGAAGCCATGTGTGCAAAAGAAAACGGTGAATAAACAGTTGCTACATAGAACGCAACAAATCTAGGATACTTTGCAGAGCTTTCCTCAATAAAATTACAAGTGCGGGTACCCATACGAGTACTTGTTCAGTAAACATACTGCTATGGGTGATACCCAATGCAGTACCTACATCAGTATAATTACTGAAATTTTTCGAAGTACTTATACCAGATATCTTGCTGAGACTTTCTCAGTACATGGGTACACCCTTAGCTCAGTACATTCACTAGGATAAGTAAAGAAGAACAAGAACAAGTTGCAAGTGAAATTATTGAAAAATAGAATAATCAAATTCAGGTAAAAACTTTTCATTATATTCCTTAATAAATATTTATTTTTAAGTTTAGAAAAATCAAGCAACATTAAACAGAATTCGATATGTAATAGGTGCTTTTCGTTTAGCTGTTCAATCTGCTTATGATGATGCTGATTTATCATCTCATACAGATGATAAAACAAAGAAAAAGAAAAACAAACAATTAAAAACTAGTGCAATCGATGATCCTGGATGGGGATGTTCTTTCACTTTTTTCTAAATTATCTTTTTAAGCATTAAATAGAATTGTTCGTGTATGTCTTAAACAATAATTACCTGAAATATATCAATTTATTCGAATAAAACTTGTTTAAACAAGTAAATTAGAAGCAGAAATAAGTTCATATTGAAAATATATTTACCTTTACTTTAGACGAGTTTGTTTTTCTTTAAAATAATTTTATTTAATATTCTATTTAATGAAATTAGTTCATATCGTTAATTAATGTTCGAAATACATTGAATATTCTTCTTCGACATGTTCGCTCTCTTATTGTTTTGCCTAATATACTCGTCAAGTACACTTGTTAAAGGATATTAAAGTACAAAAGAAAAAAAAATCTTTTTTAAAAACTTTTTGTTTTTATTATTCAATAAATTAATTCGTATTTGATCAACAATCATTAGATGAACGTAGTTCGTCTTATTTCATTTAATGTGTCAATATCGAAAACAAATGTGATTGATGTTGTTTTACGAGTTAATTTGTCATTTCATTGAAAATTTGTTTATTTTTTTTAAATAGAATATATATTTGGATTATTTGAAATATTGCAAATTTTGCATGATCTACAACACTTCCACTAATTAATTTTATGCAAACATCTTCAGTTGAACATTTATTCATTTGCTTGAACAGTTACATATTAACATGCTTTTGTTTTTCTTCTACAACTTGCTCTTCATTTACATACAGCTATTCGAAATATAAAAAAACCGTAAATAAAATTTTCTTTTTTGAATTAAATTTAATAGAAAAATATTTCTTAGAAAAGTACTCAGAGTGTTTATAATTGACAATTTATTATTCATGCATTCGTTTTATCGAGAAATTTTATTCGATTATAATAAAATAATAAAGAAAAATTAATTCAACAATTCGTTCATCAACTTATTATTAGTACAATAAGGTATTATCACCATTAGATTTAATTATAGTCAAAATTGGAGATTATTCAAATAGGAAAAATGTTCGCTTTTACACTTTAATTTTTCGTCTTGCGTGCTTTAGTTTACCTCTGTCTAATCTTTCATTATTTGTCTATATATAATTGAATATATTTGTTTTAATAGATTAGTACCAACAACTCGTTGTTATCCAGTACGATTTCATTCTATTTGTCTTCTAATTAAACTTAGTCAATTGATACCTGTGTTATCATTTTTATTTGAAATGTTTGATATAACTAATTTCAATAAACGTCATAAAACAGCAATTCTCACAGCACAATATATTAATTTTGATAGATCATTAAAATAAACTAACTTACAAATCGATGATCGAGCATAATAAGTAACAACAATTAATCTCTTTTAAAAATGTCAAATATTTATTTTATTTAGGATGGTTTTATCGATCAATTTTATGAACTTATTATACTTTATCTTGTTCATTATATTCATCATGTTACATTTGTAGAACTTGTTAATACATTAATACTTATGTATAAAAAATTTATTAAAGTTTGCAAAGTACAAAATAAAATTTTGGCAAAGTTATTCGATGTTAATTAGAAAAAGTATAAGAATATGTTAATTTATTTGAAGAACGAAGACAAAAAAAAAGGTTTAAATGTGAAAGATATTAAAGAGATAGTAAAGAAAAAAACCAATTTATTAAGATCTACGTTTTTATTTATTTATTAATATAAATAGGATAATTGACTTGAACGCCGTCAACAATCAACATCAAGTCCATTTGTTGTTCATTTTGAATAGTATAAATCATTATGACAACATGAACTTATTGCACAAAAAAGAAAAGATTAACAAGATAAAAAAAAATAAACAATGAAATATTTTATTTAAGGTCCTTTTTGATTGTAGATATTAACATTAGACCGAACATCATTACCAGACTTAATTCGATCTGAATGAGAAATAGCTGGTAAACAAAATTTCAAATCGATGATGAAAAAGAATTTAGTGATAATGAAGAAGAACTTTTTTCAAATCAAAGCAAAAAGAAAATATGATCATGTTGAAGAAGAAAATTCTGAAGAGAAAGATGTATCAACAAGTCCACCAGTAATACAGGTAAGCAAATATTTAGTAAATCAAAAAATGGTGAAAATAATAGTTTTAATCAATTGCCAAACATCAAGCAAAAATGACGAATGGTAATTCAACAATTCCAACTACCGATGAATTTCTTTATATTGTTAAAAAGAAATATGATAGCCGAAAAGATCGTCTTTAAATATTATCTGTTTGATGATTTTCAATAAAAATAAATTTAGAAAAAAAAATCAAAATCTCAGAGATAATTCTCTTAATGTTAATTTGTTTCAGATATTTGTTAATATGGTCGAAGATACGAAAGAAGATAAAAAAGAGTGAACGAAAAACTCTTTTATCTGCTAATCTTTCTTATCCAACCCGTTCATATGTTGCTTAAATGCCTGTATTAATGCATATAATTGGTCACTATAGAAATTCTTGTTGACTAATTCCAAAAGTTGGTTCACCTCAGACTGAAACAGCTGTTCGTAGTCAACAAGAAGATGAACAAGAAGAACGACTTGTTAATAATAAAGATGTTCAACCTATAGAAGTAATTAATCGATTTGTTCATTGGCATCGACGTTGGTATCGAAGCGAACCTGTTGATGTTTATTATACACCATTTAATACAGCTCTTGAACCTTGACAATGGGTTTAGGTAGTATAGGATGTGCAAAAATATTTAAACAGTATCGAATGTGTACTCATATGGAATGTGCAAAAATATTTATTTTAAAAATCTTTTTTTCTTTCGAATTAATAAGAAACAATATTTATATATATATTAATATAGATGCCAATCATAGATGTCCATCGCGGTTGAAAGTGCACCGCTGCCACACCGCGATATTTTTTCCAAAACTTGATATCGCACCGCTGCCGCGGAGGTATTACAAACGTATTCGAAACAATGATCTGTTCCTCAAAGTAAGAAAAAAAATATTATTAATTTTTGATGTAAGGAAATGAATGATAAAAATGAATCTATTAAATCTTTAGTTGTATTGAAAACATGCAATCAGTAATCAAAAGATATACAAGAACATGGAATCTTAGATTATATTGAAGGAGATATATCCCCCAAATCAGGTAGTCTCATTCGATTTGTTCGACTGATATTTCAGACCAGAACAAAATAAGAGTGGCATAAGTTTATAATTGGCGGAGACTATGGTGTCAAATGGATGAGATAATGTAGAGTAGAGTTTGAGACCCAAAATAAAACAAGGCATTCATATCATGCTAATGAGATTCACGACAATCTGTTTTCAATTGTGTATGCTAAAACAAATATCACATATTCCTTTAAACATTCTCTTTCGTGTAGTCACTCAAATGTGCAAAAATAGGAATTACTATGTTCTACCTACTATCAGAACTTTTGCCCATCTTTTATTCCTGTTATTATAAAACTTCATAGAACGATACTTAGCGTTCAAGAAATTCTAATAGACACATGATATTATGTATAAGTGTCGTACTTGTTACAAAGTTTAATAAAACTTGATATTTTTTTATCATTTTTCATCTTCGATAATGAAACCAACAATAATACTTGTATTTTCTGAATTCGATTTTTTGCTAGTAATTTAATAAGAAAACATAGAAAGTATACATACAGTTTATTTGCTTCAACCGTAATAAGTTTGTTAATATACACACACACATTATCTATAACTATAATGTTTTAAGTCGTATATCACAGTAAAACTTATAAATCATACAAAGAAATTCTTATAATCGTAAAACTCGTCGAATAATAAAGCCTAAAGAACTTCACAATTTAATGCATGCGGTAAATGTAAACCCGAATACCCTTGTAACTAGAAAAACTCATCAAAGTTGACGTAATTAGAAGAAACATACGCTTGTCTAACGTGAAAAAAGTATGACCAATAAAAATAAACATGTTGTTACATTTGCAGTTTATAAGTTTACAAAGAAGTTTATCCATATTAGTTATAGTGCACGTAAAGTAAACGAACCTTTAAAGCAAGAATACATCAGCATTTATCAATAGAAAATCATAACAATGATAAAATTACTATAGGAGTATTTGGAATTAACTATCGATGCGTGTGTCAAGTAAAATCAAATCCAATATGTATTTAGCAACATTTGTTAACAAGATCTGAAATATCGTCATCATTCAGTCGTGTTGTAGTACAGAGTCTGTTGATGTTTGATGACAGAGGCATTGAACTGCGTTGACTGAGAAAAATACTTCTTAGTTCAAATTAAATTAGAGAAAAAATCTCAAGTACTATGAATTTCTTCAGAAAAAATGTAAAAATGTTCCAAAAGTTCAATCGCTGTCGCTATAGTATTTTAAAAAATCTACTGCACCGCGTCACCTTATTAAAATGTTTTTGCCGCCATGGACATCTATGATGACAAGTACTCATCGATATTTATGTGAAAATGAAAAAGATGATGTTAAAGAAGGTATGCTTGCTGAAAAACGAGTAAATAGATCAATGTTCTATTAAAGACATTTCTTTTAGATTTGATTATTTTTTATTGTTATAGATTCTTCGACCTCATTGTATGTATTACCATTGATAAATATCTTTATAATCTATACTAATTTAATCTAAGAAAAATCAATTTTTATTTTGATAATGTTAAGAAAAATTGACCTTTTTCGTAAAGATCCATTGATCGATGGTTACAATTGGCTTTCATTGAAATATTTCAATTGAACCATTATTCTTTTACACTGTCCGTTTACACTGATTGCTCTCATTTTGTATCTGACGATTTTCTTTCATCAAATAAAGTATAGATATATCTTTTTTTGTTTGATGATGAATCTTGTTTTATTGAAGTTGAGCTACAGAAAATGTGCAGTTTAGACTCAATGTCTATTGATGAGCCTAACAAAGTGGAAATGTATTATTTTTTTATTTTACTTTAGGCACAATCAGTCATCCTCACTCAGTGCTGTGAGGTGTGTTAATTATATGAACTAGTGCAAGAGCTATGTTCAAAATCCAATAGAATCTATTTTTTAATTTTTTTTCCTGCTTATAGATTTGAAATTTTTTTCTTACTTATTGATTAATCATGGCTAAAAGAAAACGATCATCTTCAGAAGAATATAGTAGATATAAATGATTTTCTTTTTTGATTACTAATAAATTCTTTCGTTTTCTTTTAATTTTATCTAAAAATGAAGAACCATCATCAACAACAACAACAATTACTCTGACAACTGATACAACTACGGTAAAGGCAATTTATCTTGGAAAAATAAAAAAAATATTTAATAATTTATTTTCTAGTCAATTGGATTTCAATTTAAATATTTCAATTCGAAACGAATTGATCCATTACTGTTGCAATCATCATCATTTATTAAAGCTATCCATTTAGTTGAAGATTTAATTATCAATCCAAATTTAAATGTTTATTATTCACATGTAATCATACCTGAATTACGATTTGTTAATATATTTGACAAACAACAATCTTTACAATATTCTCATCGTATTAAATCTTTCTTATGTGAATTAGTACAAGATCTTCAATTTAATGTTGTTAATTTACCTGATAGTTATAGTCATTTCATAGGCGATTATTCTTTTGAATCAACAGGAAAAGATGATATTATTCAATATGATAAAACAATAATAAATGGTATAATTAGTTTAGAAGCATCAAATAAAACAACATCATCTACAATAGCTAAACAAATTTTTTTTATTTTTGCAAAAACATTACATGAAATTGCTCATGCTTGTATTTTTCGTAGTGGTCGATTAATGATGTCAACACGTCGGCAGTTGAATAAAAAACATGAGTGTTTTAATACACCAGCTACTCATGCTTTATCTGCTGAAGCTGGTAATGCTATTGAGAGGTAAATAAATTTTTATTTTTAATAAACGATATACTTTTTTCCTTTGTTTCATACTGTCCCCGACGAATTTATATTTTAACCATCGTCTTATTTTAGGTTTTTATTTGGTTCAGTTATTGGTACACTTGGTAAAAAATTTGCTGATTTATATATTATTAAACAGCTTCTGCTACGGGAACAAAAGCCAAATGGTATTATTGATGCTTCATGGTTAACGAGATTTGTTAATTCAAATTTAACAAATTTAAATGATTTTCCATTAATTATTTATGTAACATTGACAGATAAAAAATTAAGAGCAACAAAATCAAGTCCCAAAACCTTAGAAGAACATACAAGTAATGATGATAGTAAAGATACAAATAACGAAGAAGATGAAGATGAAGATGAAGATGAACATGATGATGATGATGATGATGATGATGAACCTATTTTAGTAGCAATCGACTGACTGAAAAAACAACTATTGATTTAATTGAAAAAAATTTTCTTTTGATATTTTCTATTTAATGTATTTAGTCATATATTCTTATGTAACTCAAGTTTCAATGGGATTGTTGTATTTTCGAATTTGTACTCCGCCGCTGCTTTGGTTTCTTCTTTGATCATGATGTGCGAGTGAATCGGGCCGTAGTTGTTCATTTGATCAAAATCACAGTCAAAAATGCTTTTTTTAGCCTTTCACAGATAATTCAAGCAGAATAAACAGGAGTGTTCGAAAACAAGAAAAAAAGCTCAAAACTCAAGGATGAAAACTAGATTTTTTATCTTATTGGATTCTGCTAGATTTCAAAGGAAATTTTTGCGAAATGGATAGTATCTAATTATTATAGTCCGAGGCGCCTTCCATATTATTACTGCAATAAGCATCCGTAGCACCAATTTGAGTATGTTTCCAACATTGTCGATCGAAATATTTTTCGAGATGACTTTAGTTTCCTCGATAGAAGCACAATGTTCACATTTATCAATTGAAACTTTATTTTCTTGGGGGATTTTGAAGTTTTTACAATCACAATACGTTTTCCGCGTGAGTACCGCTTTTCTTGATCATGATATATTTATCCAGTTAACTTTCAAGTATATTGATCAAGCTAAAATTTTGAAAATACCTTCCAACTTTTTGGACCAACATGTAGTTTTCGAGATGTGGTTCGCCAAATAGATTTGTGTGGACTAAAATTTACTTTTCTTCCTTGTGAAATTCATCAAGCACTCGATTTGACTTTCAGCGTGAAATTGAGAATTAAGAAAAAAAACAGAAAAGACAAGTTTGAATGGATGCAAGGGTTGCCTACAATCACTAGTTACTATCCAGTCAATATGATTTAAGCTTCATATCCCTATCAAAAAATGACACTAGCTAAAAGAAAAAAAATTGATTAACTCTGCTCGAAGATGATTCATTTCCAGTGTAAAAGGAAACCTCCAAATGAGGTACGAAATATGTACCTCAGGGGTACAGATTTTTGTGAGGTACAAAAGATCAAAATGGGATACAGTTGGTAACTCTGATGTAACTCTTCTTTTGCAAAATAAGATAATAAACAATAAACAAATATTCGAACGACTGCGGATTTGTATAAGAAAAGTTGTATTCTGTAGGACTTTCACTTATTACTAAGTCTTTTTTATATTTAAACATCTTTAAATAGCATA